TCTGTTTAACTTCCCCAGTATAACTGCTTTGATAGATTTGGTATAGAACTCCCTTCCATTCCTCTATTCTATATGTATTTTTCCCTTTTGTTTTGTGCTTGACTTTCTCCTGGGCACTATCCTCCAAAAGTTTCTGTGCTTCCTTCAGTTCCTGCAAACCTAATTTCGAGATGTTGCCTTTTGACACTTGAAGGGGCTTGATATCTTGTTTGCTCTTCTTTTCTTGAGCTCTGGTTGTGACAGCAGATGCTTCATCAAGCTTCTTTCTGTTTAGTTCCTCCAGATTTATACTACCTGGGTTGTTTCTTATTACCTAGTCATGTATTGGTTCCTAGATACACATGGCCTCAAGGTCTCCTACATAATATGGAGTATTCACCTTTATTTTTACTATAGGGAACTTTCTCACTGTCCCATCGATTAGCACACACAGCCATACCTTATCTGTCATCTGATCATCAGATACTATACTAGTTCTCACTGCTGCACCACTGCACCCAATATCTCGTAGAACCTTCACTTTCTTGTCCCCAACATAGGCTTCACATATTGGCATATTATGATTTGTTGGCACCTCTTGATATTTGTCACAAGCTCCCACCACTATTGGCACTGTTGATTCATTTGCTGTATTGAGCAGACCATTACTCATGTACTGATCAATCATTCTCTTTTGTATTAACTCTGAGGAGGAGCCTTGGTTCTCTTTCTTCTGGCAGCAACATCCATAATGCCAGTCACTCGTTTTTTGTTTCTTATTACCACTGTCTATGTAAATAGCTCCAGGTACTTTACAGTGAGGTTTCAGCTGTTGTTTGCTGGCACTGGACTTGCACTTCTTTGCAATGTGTCCCATTTTATAGCATCTCTTCACACTTCTATTAACCTCCTGTCTCCTTTCGTAAGCTCCTACTTCTGGTCAGCCATTACTGGTTTCACATTTGACTGGACTTGCCAGTTATATTACCTCCGTGGGCTTCCATATACTGTTGTGAAACCTGGATCATCTCATCTACATATTTTGGTGCTCTCTCCTTTAAGAACAGTGACATGTCATTTGAGTAGGGGATCCTGAACTGTTCTCGCACTAATAGGTCTGCCAATCCTTCAAAACTATTTTCACACATGGCCACGTCAGTCCATCTGGTGAAATAACACCGCAGACATGCCACAAACTGAAATAGTTTCTCCAGTTTCGGGTTTGACTTCTATGAACTTCCAACAAAAACCTTCTTCAGTTAGTTCATATCATTTCAGTAAAGCTACTTTTAATTTATCATATCCATGCCATCTTCTGATGTCATGCCTGCATATACTTGTAGGCCTTTTCCTGTAAGAAGTGGGCTGAGACAGACTGCCCAATTGCCTTTGTCCCAGTTCTAACTTTGGGCAAATCTTTCATATCTCTCCAGGAAAGCATCTATGTCATCTTGATGTTCACCAAATTTGGGTAGCTTGAGGTCGGCTGGCCCTACTCCCTTGTCATTCTTGGGTCCTTCTTCCTTCGGTTGGGTGTTTGGAATCTCAATTTGTGCTCTTATTCTATCTATTTCTAGTCTCTCTTATTGTTTTCAATTTAAATTCTTATTCTTTCTCTCTCTATTTCCCATCTTCCCTTCTCTCATTTTCTTCTCTTTCCTTTTCTTCTTTCAATCTTTCTCTTTTCTCAATTTGTCTTTTCTGTTGTCATTCTTCTCTCTCTCTCTCTAGCTTTTGCTGTTGATTGACAAACTATCATAGTTTACGGTCTTTTAACCAAAGACATTCTCCAATTTATCAAAAGTTGACATGGTGCTATGATTGTAATCTCCACACTATATGCAATACTACTACAGTTGTGCATAGTTGGCCTTCTTTTTTCTCGCTAGCATTCACATTTTCTTTACCGTCATTTACCAATGTATGATCCTGTCATGGACAACAAATTGTCAGGTTTTATTTTTGTGGATTCTTATACAGTAGGTGTCTGTGACTTTTTGACGGTAAAGGTAACGATCAATGAACAGCACGCACTACACTTGTTTCAATATCAACATGTATATTCTGAACTAAATACACACAAATACATCAGCATAGACATAAACCTTGCCTTTTCCATAGCTTTGCTGCAATCTGCTCTCTTTCTGTTCTGCTGGCCCACTTTATACCTTTTGTCCCATCATCGGTTCACAACCACCCCTTTACTATAAGTTCCCACACACACCACTCTGCACTCTCCACAACAATGAGTCACAAATGCAAAATACAACATAATAAACTAAACAAAAATGAAATAATATTACAATTATCATAAAACACAACAAATCTTTGACAGTCTTTTATATCGTGACAGTGTTAAATTCAATTTATCCATCAATGGCACTTTTTTATTTTATAAAAATATTTTAATCTTTAGCTTTCTTGCAGGCTTTGAATAAAAATATGTTATTTTTCTGCATAACGTTTTAACCATACATATGTTTTCAACTATCCATCTTCAATACGATTATTGTTATTACAAAACTTCACGACTTTTGTAGGCACAGATCCAACATCTGAACATTTTTTGATGGCTTGCTTGGAGACACTTTCAGCTAAGAAATCAGAAATGCTTTGTTATAATAAATGATGATTAAAGCCATTTGTTAAAGTGTTGCCTGCCACAGTTATTAGAGAACCATGCAAACCTTGTTTGGAGGATTTAAGCATTTCCCCTAGATGATTGCACAACAGCAGAGTTACTCTATAGCTCAAACCCTGACTGGTCTTCTTTTCTCATGTTCTACAAGAATGGCTAAACTTTAACCCTATCGCCCCGGGTATCCTTTACAGCAAGATTTTAGTGTTTTACATTCAAAATGTTATTATACTACTTTTTATTTATGTTATATCAATTAGAAATGCATAAAATCCATAGCTAATAATCCATATTTTAATAATATACAAGCTTTAAGTTCTTAATTCTACAAGGCAATATTTAAAAAAATCCTGAATTTCCACTAGTGTGACCCACGTGACACATTTTTTCTTAGCATGTTGTCATCCCTATTTTATCCACCACCACTCGAAAGTGTACAAAATTAAACATAAATTACTCTCTATAAAATCGTTATTGCTCAGACAAACCATAATTTTTATAGTCTTCAATTTTGTTTGGTTACAGAGCTATCGAATAGAAAATCAGACCCCTCCTGCCACACCTGTCACATCCTCTCTTTCATAATTCATTGATAGTTCTCTCTTATATTTCATTATATGTTACCTATAACCAATAAAAAGTCAAGGTTTTCATCTATCAAATGATATATTGTGTAACATTGTATTTTGAACAGAAAAGCGTCAATTTCACTCACAGTACAAGCTTTGTTCCCAGTGGGAAAGTTAATGACTAGCTTGGATGATTTTGTAACAGCTCTTGTCCCTCATTGTTAGAAAGTCAGAAAAATTTTGAGAGGTAAGGGAATTTGTCTACTTTTAGCATGTTATTACTCTATATTCTTTGGTACATTATTTAAATTAAATTAAAAGTGTTAAATGCATTACTATTAGTACTATAAAAAGTTCAGCTTAACTGTCCTCAACAATTGAGAGCAAGAAAAAAGAAGATTGGGTAAGTACTTTATTTTTCTTTATCATACTTATTCTTTATTTATTATCATAAAAGTAAATAAAATATAAAAATACAGATCTTTTTAAGTTATTTAAGATAGATTAGGTAAAATAAGTAAAAATAATAATATAATTAAAATGGTTCACAAGGATGCACATGAGCAACTCGTACTAGCTCATTGGTAACGTAATTCAATAGCGTGACCTGCACGTTCTCCGAATGATTTACAATTTTTTTTTAAGAGCTACTTAGGATAAATGAATGTAATTTCATGTTACAATGTGAAGTCATTCTAAAAAGAAAAAAAAGGATAATTTAGGTTTATTTCGTTTTTTGCGGGTGGTTACAAGGTCGGTCGAATTGACCGATCCCGTATTGAGATTGGGAAAATAACAGATAAACTACAAAGTTTTACAGAAAAAAATCATTTGAAATGGATTTAAAAGGTTTTAGGGATTACACAAAGAAAATTTTAGATTTTTGAGATGAGTATTTGTAAATTTAACATGAAAATTACTTTGCACATGGACTATTCAAAACAAATACTCAATATGTTCATGGAAAAATCTTTATTTTATTTTATTAAAAATATTTCACTAAAAATTAAGATTTTTTGTACGTGAAAGACTTGTAATGTTAACTAAAAGACTGCAAAATGTTGTGAAGACATACCCACTGTATTGAGAGTTATAAGTATTATCTATAAAGGCTATAAACGAGTACAAAAAGGTCACGTGGTCAGTCAAATTAACTGAGTCCATATTGGGATAGTTAAATGTATCACAAAAACATTTCAGTCAATTTATAGTGCTCCTGAGTCCTATCATGTCAGAATTTCTGATTGCTGTGACTGACAATGTTTAATGGAGGAGGTTTTATTTTTAAATATAATGGATTTATTAAAACAAAATTATCTTTTGATCTGGTTAACAGGCTTCAGCTTCTATCACTATTGGTAATATTACAAGCATATGAGCACCATCTTCCTCAACCTAAGACCAAAAACCGAAGTAGTTAAGATTACTTATTCATGGCGGTTAGTAGCATCGAATGACTACATAGCAGATAAACAATGTGCTCATTGTAACCAATTAATCACACTTCGTAAAGACATGCAAAGGATATTGTTTGCTCAACTGGCATTGTTAGGAGAGTTCATCTCACTTAACAGTCCAGGCAAGTTTTCTTAAGCTGATCTATGCTTCAGGGAGACTAATAATGGTGGCCATTAAACTATACAGAAATAAACCAGATCTTGACAAGTGGGCTTTATGTGAATTGTCAGCTTGGCAGTGTGTTAGAAAGAAATTAGTTACAGTGCACAATTAACACTTGTTTGTGATGGCCATGGCAATTGCTAGCTACAACCTAGACATTACCACACAATTCAAACTTTGTATGAGTGATTTACCTTCAGATGGATTGTAACCTGGCATCTTTGGTCCTGCACCATAAAACTGCAGTTTCCTTAACTCATTGTTTGTGGAGTAGTCTAAATCACCCTGAAATATTTAAAAAAATATTTTTTTTTAGTGGTTATATTTCATCTTATCTCTGATTAACTGCCACCAGTGAAAAAGCGTTATTCCACCTACATTTCAATGACAAGTAAATACAATTAACTTATGGCTCATTTTCACAAATGTTTCATAGCATACTGTCCTCTACCATGATATACAGCTCTGAATCATAGGAGGCAAAACACATTTAAATTTGGGAAGACTAATTGGGGCACATTATTTGCTATGTTACCCATATCAGAATTTAAAAATGAAACAGCAACATTCCATGATAGTTATACAAGTCTCTATTCCCTATTCAAAATAGCACTTCACTATTAGGTCAAAATTGAGAATACACATGCCAACAGTGCCCTTTTCTCCCACCTGTACTCTTAATAACTTAAAGACACCTATCATAACTGGGCGATTCATTGTCAAATTAAGCACCTCATAAAACCTCGCCTCTCCCCAAATTGTAATGAAACAGGACAAACAAGTCAACAATGATGAGAAAATCCTTCAGACAATATTTCATATTCCTAGGTCAAATGATATAGATAAAAAAAATGATCCAAGTAAATCTTTATTTTTTGTCCAGCTGGAGAGGATCAGTTTCAACCCTAATCCTTTTAAGATTTTTCTCACTGAACTGTTAAATTAATTTTTGGGTAACTTTAAATCTCTTTTTTTGTGACAGACTAGCTTAAAAAACCCGTAAAAAACACAGAGGTCATAGATTAAGCTGCAAAAATATCTTAATCTGAATTCCTTTGAGCACCTCTTCGACATCCTTAACTCATCATGCAAGTCACAAAGGATTTCAACTAGTTTCTAAGATCAGTGGCTTTTAGTTTCTACAAATAAGTATCTTGTATAAATTATTTAAATCTCAAAGTCATAACTCTGCTATAAGATATCAGAGCTAACTAAACAACAAGTATCAATTTCAAGCATTAATTGAAGATCAGCTTACTGCATTCTCTGAACAAGGCATGGTCCCCTTTGTATGCCGTTTAGACCGTCGAGCAACTTGTTCAGGAGGAGGTTTGATTGCCTGACGTGAAGGAATCCCATGAGGAATGTAATCTGTATCTTTTTTGTCCTTCTCCCTCGAATCTTCAAAACTCTGTCCCAGAAACAAATTGAAAGGTTAAGATTTTGGAAAATTTTAATATAATTAACAAGTAAAAATTTATTTTATTTTGCTAATTGTTTTCTTAAATGATTCTTCAAGAATCAAAACTAATATTTACTCAGCACACAATTAATATTACTTTTATTACAAGATGTATTAGACCAGTGTTTCCCAAAGTGTGTAGCGCACACACACACACTCTCAGGAGGACACAAATGATCTCTTGGGGGGTGGGAATGCTTAGAGTAAAATCAATAGTGCAATAATTCAAAATTGAACATTTTAATATATTTTTTATTAATGAAAATAATAAGTAATTACAGCAACACATATATCATTTTAACATGTATCCATGTATTATATCTCGTCACTTAAGTCACCCTTTCACACATTTAGAAAAAGAAGTGAGTGAGAGTGCATAGATGACAAAAGCTTGGAAAATGCTGTATTAGGCAATAATTCAAATTAACTTTTCTTATTTTGGAAAGTTAATTTTTGTTTCAAATTTTATAAAACTAAAATATTTTTTATAATTTATTTACTGTATAAGCAATAACATATAACTAAAGGAAGACTAACCAAAATTATAACTACTAATCAACATTAGTTATGTAAAAACCAGAACTCAAATGAATGTTAAATTTTGCTTGTTTTGATGGCTGTACCTATTTTTCAAGATATTCTACTTAAAATTTAAGTAGTGGCAAACATGTGCAAGGTTCAATGAAATACATAAAACCAATATTTTTTCATGCGCAATCAAATTTTAATTAGAAGTTGTAATTAAAGTTAAATTGTGCAAGAGAAAAAACAACTGTTTTATTGATATATTATACTTGTTCTTCTCCTTAAACAGACTAATAATTCTCAATGTATGAAGTTGTTTTAACACACCTGAACTGATTTATGAACTTTGCATATTTTACTGAAAATAGTGGTCAAAACTACTGTTAGTTTAACTCTTTCATGGGCTCGGTCCTTGGGACCGACCTCGTAACCATTTTGTGCTTGTTAAAGTTTTCGTGCTATAACTTTTAAATTAGTAAGCAAATGTTAACAAAATTTGGCAGTTTATCAGTGAACATTACAATGCTTTCATATGCAAAATATATATATTTTTTTTATTGAGTCTTAAGATTTGTAAAGCAATGTTTCTCTCATGCCTTTTTTCATTTCACATCTTGCCTATCTATCATGCAAAGTAATTTTCATCTTAACATTAAAAATACTTCAATGAATCATAAAATTTCAAAATTTCACATGCAAAATCTTTATAATGTCCAAATAGTTATCAAACATTTCTTAAGACAAATTTTATATTTTAATAGTTATTATCATTAATTAATCTCTGTATGGGTTCGGTACATTTGACTGATCTCGCAACCACCATAAAAAATTAGGAAATAAACATAAATTATGCATCTTTTATTCAAGAATGAACACAAATTATAACATGAAAACATAAATGTTTAGATGAAATAGC